CTAAAGGTCATGGAGATTTCAACACAAGTGTCCTTGCTCCAAGTCCGGTTCTCTTTCTAATCTGTAACAGGAGGTCTAAGCCTGCCTCTAGTTAGCTCCTTTGGGCCTCATATTTCTGGTTTGCAAAAGCCACCAGGCCAGGTGCCACAGAAAGTGCCAGTCCTATAGGACATTATACTGAAGGTTCTTCTCACTGGTTATGCTGCATGTCACTGGGCAAGTCGCTCAAATGCCCTGGCTTGTTTCTGTAATTAAATTATGCTCCAGAAGCTTGAGTTCTAAAGTGCTGATTCTGTGAGAAGATAATGGTTTTGTGCTGCACTGAGAAGGGCTCCCATGCATGTATCAGGAGGCCTGACACCCTCACAGCACTTCCTCACCATCCCCCGCTCAGGTCTATTCAGCTGGGCATTCATGTTTAAGCATTAACATGTATTCAGTCACTCAGTTGTATCCAACTCTTTGTGAACCCATGGACTGTAGCTCACCAGTCTCTGTTCATGGGATTCTCCAGGCAAGAACACTGGAGTGGGTTGCCATTTCCTCCTACAGGGGATCTTCTGGAGCCAGGGATCGAACCCATCTCCTGAGTTGCAAGCTGATCCTTTACCCACTGAGTCACCTGGGAAGCCGTAACACAAGTCACCTCAAATATTTGTCACTGGCCCTCACCAAAAAAATAAAAAATCAGGCTTCGCAGGTGGCGCTAGTGGTAAAGAACCTGCCTGTCAATGCAGCATAAGAGACAGAGAACTCATAAGAGACATGAGTTCGATGCCTGGGTTGGGAAGATCCCCTGGAGAAGGAAATGGCAACCCACTCCAGTATTCTTGCCTGGAGAATCCCATGGACAGAGGAGCCTGGCGGGCTATAGTCCATGGGGTCACAAAGAGACACGACTGAAGCAACTTAACAGTTAGGACGCGGTCACCAAAAATCACTTAAGTTACACTGGCAGTAGTCCAACACCACATTCAGACAGGGCAGAAATGTAAAAGAAAAATGATAGCACAGTTTAAAGAAGAAAACAAGGTGTAGGAAAGGAAAATGAATTCATGACGTCTGAACCAAAGCACCAAGACCATGACTGTTAATGGAACAGCTGTGAGTCACAAATCAACACCCTCCCAAATGAGTGAGTCTTTGCCTGGGACACTAGAGAAAATTCCTCTACTCCCCATGCACAACAGAGACCTTGAACTGTGCTTTTTAATAAAATGCCAGAGACGTGCAAAACTAGTCTATAATTCATTGTGCTTAGTTATGCGCTTAGTCGCTCAGTCGTGTCCGACTCTTTGCCCCCATGGACTGTACTCGGTCAGGCTCCTCTGTCCATGGAATTCCCCTGGCAAGAACATTGGAGTGGGTTGCCATGCCCTCCTCCAGCGGATCTTCCCAACCTAGGGATGGAACCCAGGTCCCCTTCATTGCAGGCGGATTCTTTACTGCGACACCCATTGGAAACTATTCTTTAAAAAGACAAAGAGTTAATAGTTTTCACTGGTGGGTGTGCTTTCCCCAAATGTCATCGGTGTAGGTTTCCTCTTGGAAGGCGGAATGGGACATGTTTGGGGTTTTGTTTTTACCGGCAATAAACGAATGTATTTTTCATCACTACTATTTCAGCACTTTGGGGCTCAATTATAACAAAATGAAGGCCTGAGCCCCGAGTCCCAGCCAAGTCAACATCCTGCAGACTTCATTCACTCGTCTAACTCCGGGTACCCCCAGCCCCCGCCCTGAGATCGAGCTAGATACGAGCTCACCGCGGGCCTCCGGGAACCGAGCCGGCAGCAAAGCGACGTGGAGGCCCTGGCTCCCGGCCGGCCCTCCCGCCCCACTAGCCCGGCCGGCTCCGCCCGCTCGCGGCCCCCGGCGGTCCCGGAGCCCGAGCGCGCCGCCGCGCCGCGCCGACTTCCGCTTCCCTGGCCGGCGGGCGGGAGGCGCTGCAACCCCGGGCCCGCGCCTCCCGCCCCGGCCGCCGGGGCGCTCCGGAGCCCCCGGGGCCGCCCGCCGGCGGCAATCGGACGCGGGAGGCGGGGCTGGAGGGCTGGGCTGCGGCTGACGTGGGTGTTAAGCGGCACCCCCCCCCCGCCCCCCGCCGCGGATCCAGAGCCGAGAGCGGGCGGCGGAGCGCGAGCAGGACGCGGTGGTGAGCGCAGCCCGGTCAGGCGCTCGCGGCTGCGGGGAACCAGTCGGGAGGGAGCGGGGAGTGGGCAGACCTCGGCGCCCGGGCGGCGTGACCTTCCCGGGCGGCGGGGATCCGGAGTCCCCGGGCCCACACGCGCCGCCCACGTGCCCAGGGATCCCGCGGGCGCCCCTTTCCCGCGCTCGGCCCTGGACTCCCCCGTAGACCCTCGGGCCCCGCGGCCTCCTGCGCGCCGCGGTCACCGCCCGGGAAAGGTTGTCCTCCTTTGCCCCCCTGGTCATGTCACCCAGCCTCCTGGCTCCGCGCGGCGCCGGGCAGGGCGGAGGCGCGTATGAATGGGAGGCTCGGGCTGGTTGCTGGGCAGAGTCAGCGGGCGTTTAGAGTCGGGAAGAAGTTGGAAGTCGTCTCCCTAAGCTACCCCTTTGGGCGGACCGGGATCCCGAGCCCCTGACGCCGGAGCTCCGGTCTCTCGGCTGCTAAGCGGCGAGACTGGTTTGCATCCTTGCGCCCGTGGGGCGCCCCTCTCTGGGCGCTCTGATGGCGGGCGGCCTCCCGTCACCCCAGCTTCGGCCTGAAGCTGGAATCTTCCCTAAACTGTGATCTGGTGGGGGAAGGCAGGGGTCCTCGGATTCTCTCGCACGAGAAACAAATTTCCCCGAGGAATGGGGAATATACATGGTCTTCTGGAGTGGGACTCCGGTGTAGTTTGAAAGGATAAAGGGACGGCGCAAGGTTCAGTTTTTCTGTTTCTGTTGGTACCGAAGGCTCATGAATTAGTCTCTCAGGTTGATCAGTCCTGCCGCCCTCAAACCATATGTCTTCCTCAAGCCAAAGTCACGCATAGTTTGAAACAGTTGCTCATATCTTCTGAGTTAATCTCAGTTCCCATCACTGTTAACAGTCCTAATAATTCTATAAGTAGTTATGTGCAGGAGTTGATGTGTTTAAGTCTGACTTGCCTAAAAGGGTTAAATTCGCGTTGATGACATAGTGCCATCCGCTATGCCCCTTTCTTTCTAAGGGAGAAATGTACCCTCCCGCCCCCCACCCCCGGCAAATGAACCCTTTGGATGCGCCCCATCTGTGGCTCCTTTTCCCTCTAAAATGCAGGGTTGAGGGCTTTGTTTTCTCCTTTTGACCAGGTGGGAATCCTCTGGAATTAAATATTGGTCGATAAGCACAGACCCAAAAGGCTAGACTTGGGTTGAATGCTGTCTGCGCAGACTGGTGTGACCTTGGATGAGCTGTTGCTGTCTTCTGGCCTCAGTTTTTCCATTTGGAAAAGGAGGAGATTGGATTAGGACCCTGATATCCTTCTCTCGATGCTGGATGGTCCCCGTCTTATCAACATTAGTAATTGGCACTGCCCTTCCAGGCCTATAGGTAACATAAAGTTGGTGGTTTTTACGTCTGAGTTAATTGCTTTATAAAGTGCTGTACTTTTGTTGTTGCTAGTTTTAAAACTTTAAAGCGAGATTCTTGGTGTCTGGTCATTGACAACATACTTTAAGTGGCTGAAAAACTTCTTGGAGGCTAAAATTATTTTCTGCTGGTGACTAGGATGATGTTGGTATTCATGGAGCATCCAGCCCACCCACCCCCTCTGAGAGGTGGCCTGACCGGGTGTGATGTCTTAGGTGTTATGGTTAAAAAGTGTTCCTTGTTATTCACACGTTAAGAATATTCTGTTAAAGAACCACCTCCTTTTTTCTAGTCAATATTTATTTAAGTCCTTGCCATGGCAGCGGTTGATTTTTTTTTTTTTTTTTTTGTCTAAAGGTAGAAAAGTAGATCTGGTTTTCCCCAAACTTCTAGACTTCAGCTCAAACCTACTGAATCAAGATCACCAGGAGATTGGCCTGGTTATTTGAATATTTAACAAGTGTCCCAGGTGATTCTTATCTAGCAAATTTGGGGGGCAATGGACCAGGTGTTGCTATTAATATGGGTAATACCAGGCATTATAAACTTCACCTAGGAGCAGTCCAGGCAGGCAGCATTTCTGGTCCCACTTGAAACCAATCACATCAGAATGAGCCTTTTAATAAAGTCCCCAGGTGATCTGTGTGCACATTTATGTTGAGAAGCTCTGGAGGGAAGCCTGATGACAAGAATATTTGGTGCTAATGTTTTGTAGTTCTAAGAACTCCTGGTGCGTATTCAGTTTATCATTGTCCGATGTGGCTATTTCTGATTGCTCTCAGATTATGATAATATAGACCGAGACCTTGTGTAGACAGGGACCTCCAGCTTTAGGGGCCCAAGGGGCCCCCATACTGGTGGCAGAGCAGGCATTCAGACCCAGGCAGGTGTCACTTGGCAGAGCTCCTAACTCATTACTTTTCAGACCTCCTGTTTTGTGGCATTCTCTCAGGTTCTCAGGCTGCTATCTGAATTTGGAATAGAACCTAGTGGATTGAGAGAGCAACCCAGGCCTCTGAAAAACTGGTTTGATGGGGCTTGTGATGTCTGCTTGGCTTGCTTGTTTGGCCTTTGTTTCTGAGAGTTTCAGAAAAGTTGGTTGAAGTGCCCTCACCTGTTGTTGGAGCAGTGATACTCAGGCAAGGTTTTCAATCTCTGTGCTTTTTATGGGGACGTGGTGGGTGGGGAGAAGGGGAGGCTGATGACTGAGCTGCTCTGACCCCCTTAGCCCCCTCCTCTGGAGCCACGCAGAGCCAGTTTCCCAGTTCCGTGAGGTTCAAGTGCAGTAGCTGGGCAGCAGGCCTAGAGAAAGAGCAGCTGCAGAGCCCCGACTGATGGTGAGCTCTGGCTTCCTCCCAGGGATGTGAGGTGCCCGTCATAAGCTCCAGAGAGTCACCCTCCACGGAGCCCAGCAGAGGAGCAGGAGAATATGAAATCCAACCCTGCCATCCAAGCTGCCATCGACCTCACGGCTGGGGCCGCAGGTAAGGCCAGAGAAAACCCCATTCTCTGATCCTCAAGTACCTTCTGCGAATGAGATCCAGTGAGCACATTGCCTCTGTCACTCCAGGACCTTGTAATGAAACTGCTTAATGGGAGTGTAATACTGTGTTGCAAGTACAGCAGAAGGTAGGCTTACATATATACAACGGAATGATACTCAGCTGTAAAAAAGAACACATTTGAGTGAGTCCTAACAAGGTAGATGAACTAGAGCCTATTATACAGAGTGAAGTAATTCAGAAAAAGAAAAATATATATTAACACATATATATATATATGGAATCTAGAAAGATGGTATTGATGACCAACCTTTTTGCAGGGCAGCAGTGGAGAAGCAGACAGAGAACAGGCTTGTGGACACAATGGGGGAAGGAGACGGTGGGACACTTTGAGAGAACAGCCTGGAAACATATCCATCATCATATGTAAAATAGATAGCCAGTGGGAATTGGCTGTATGATGCAGGGAGCTCAACCCGGTCCTCTGTGACAACTTGGAGGAGTGGGATGGGGTGGAGAAAGTTTCAAGAGGGCAGGGACATGTATGACTATAGCTGATTCATATTGATGTATAGCAGAAGCCAACAGAATACTATGAAGCATTTATCCTCCAATTTAAAAAGTTCTTTAATTGACAAAAATAAAAAGACAAAAGTAAACCAACTAGCAGTCAGGGTAAAGGGTGGGAATGTCCCTGGTTCACAACTGGAAGCCTGTGAGATCACAGCTCAGAGCTGAAGCCACATGTTCCATTGCCGCGTGGCTGGGATACACAGGATTCTACTCCTAGCCTGGCAATCTCGAGAGCCCTTGTGGGCAGAAGTAATGCTGTACCATTTCTCCAGGGAAACCCCAGAGACTGTCTTTACTGCTGCTCAGGAGAGCAAGGAAACCCTTAGAAATGTCTTTGGTGAATAAGACTGACTTTTGACTGTGTCTTAAAGCCCTGAAAGGAAAGGAGAGGCCTGGCCGGGGAGTGGTGGATGGGGTGAGTGCCAGGGTAGACTCTGGCCCCCGCGCCCCAACTACTCCCCTCCCAGGCACCGGCAAGCTCTGGGCCACGCCTGCCACGCAGGCCACTCTTCAGAAAGGCAGCCTTTACTCAGTGAGAGGCAGATGAAGAATTCCAAGTGCCTGAGCAATGACTTGGTTCTTCGGATTCCTGTATGATTTTATGGCTGGAGACGCGCTGGAATGCCCACCACTTTCCCAGTGGAAACTCTGGCTGCTCCTCGCCTCCCTCACCGAATCTTGTCACTGCTTCCTGGGGCTGAGAGGCCAGGGGAGTGGGTTACCCCTCGTCCTCTTATCTGGGGGGGCCTCCCGGGTCAGCAGATGAAGGGCAGTCAGAGGGCCACCTGCTCTCATCCTGTTGCCTTCGTCGTGAAAAAGAAATCAGGGATTCAGGGAAGCTCACGGTATTTTTCCATGAACCAGACATGGGCCAAAGTAGGCTCACGAGGAAGTCTGGAGACGGTACACTGCAGGCTGATAAGAGGTGCAGGCAGGGGCGCTCCCAGTCAGAGACCACGAGGAGGAGCGGGGTGCGGTGCTGGAGGAGGGTGGGGGGACTAAGGGCTGCCTGGGTTGCATCCCGTGGCCTCTCTCATGCTGAGTGCCGAGGGATTGAGCCCCCCGCCCTGCGCACTGTCCCCTCTCTGTCCCTTTAACCCCTGCCCCGTGTCATTTGCTGGCAGAGGACCCTGACTTTGGCAACCGTGGGCCCAGCTGCCTGCCTCTGCCTGCCTCATGCCCCCCCTGTGAGTGTCTGTGCTCAGTTCGTGTCTTTGCAGTAGGAGTGCGTTTCACCCCATGGGGGAAGCTCAGTTTTGGGGATTCTGTGTCTTTTTCAGTCAGTCTGTCAAAGATGAAAGAGCTGTTGTAATAGAATTAAAGCATTTTTGCTTTTCCTGGAAAGGACAGGACAGGCATTTGAGTACTGCATTCATAACTGTATCTGCATCCATAATAGTAATCTGTAAAGATGTACATTGCAACAGTATTGTCCAGAGTCTGGCTGTGTAAGGCATTTGCCAGTACACGTGCTTTTTTTTTTTTTTTTTAACATGTATCAGGCCCATATAGTTATATTTAAAGATGTAAATTGCAACAATATTGTCAGGAACCTGGCTGAGTAAGGCATTTGCCAGTACGTGTGCTTTTTTACAGTGGTGTTAACATGTATCGGGCCCTTATACATACTAGCATTTATTTTTTCTGCTAACTGTGGGTAGGTGTTCCTTCCTGCACTGCAAACCCAGGGTCACCCCTCACTGATGTAATACCACCCTGGTTGTCTTGACATCTGAGGTCAGCAGGCTTCCTGGGTGCTAAGCCTGTGAGACACAGGCAGAGGAGGTCCCTCGTGGTGACCTGAGAACTCCCCCTGTATGAAGGGGAAGCAGCCGTCCATTTTTGAGAGGTCTCAGCCTTTGAGTGATGGAGCTAGAAGGGCCTTTAGAGACCCTTGGCTCTAATGCTCTTGTATGTGTAGAAAAGGGACCCAGGGAGGGATAGTGGATTTGTTCAAGGCTGCACAGCTGTTAATAGATGGTGCGAATAAAGACAGGGTGAGGACCTTGGCTGCCTGGTTCCTTGTCCCGTTCTGTCATCTTTGTTCTGCTGCTGCATGATGGCCAACAGCGTCCCCCAGAGATGGGGATTCCTTTGGAGGCTTCACCGCCCCAGCTCTCTGGATGGGGAAACTGGTGGGCTTTGGGATTTTTCTGTGGCCGTTGCCAGGAGCAGAGGACCCCTAGCGCTCTGTAGACATGGACCACCATGGAAGCGACATGTGTGAGAGCACAGGCAGCCGTGGTTGGAGGTGATGTGGGTGTAGCGTCCCAGTGTTCTCCGGCGTGTGTGTCTTCTAGACAAACCTTCTCCATCAAGCAGGGTTTCAGGCCAGCTCGTCTACCCTAAAGTGAAGCTTCCGTATCTGAAGCTTCTGAAGGAGTGATGCCAGGAAAGGATCAAGAGGCCCAGGCAGCTGGTTGGGGAGGATTTGAAGGCAGTTGGTTAGGTAATTGGATCTCAAAAGTTAAATCCCTTTAAAGGGAAACCTTAGTGGCACATGAAGGTTTAGTAGCTTCACAACTATCAACATAAAATGATGCATTCTTTCCCCAGACTGCTCTGTTGCAATGTGCCTTGCTTAAGTAGTTGGGAAAGTGGCATTTTATTTTATTTTTTGGCATGTGGGATCCTAGTTCCCCAACCAGGGATGGAAGCCACACCACCTGTTGTAAATGGCGTTAGTCATTCAGTCTTGAGTGCCCGACTCTGCGACCCCATGGGCTGTAGCCCTCCAGGCTCCTCTGTCCATGGGAATCTTCAGGCAAGAATCCTGGAGTGGGTAGCCATTCCCTCCTCCAGGGGATCTTTCTGACCTAGGGATCGAACCCCAGTCTCCTGCATTGCAGGCAGATTCTTCACCGTCTGAGTTAGGAAGTCCTAACAACTGGACTGCCAGGGAAGTCCCCAAAATGTGGCATTTTTAGATCGTTGAGATTTATCCTTTCAAATGCCAAAATTAACCACAAACCAAAAGCACTTTTTGGTTGGAATATTTTGAAAATGACATGCCTGTCTGCACCACTAAGGGGAACATGGACTGATTGCCTCCAGTGGGTTGGAGGCTGTCCTTTCTGCGTGGGTGGGCAAGTGGCCAGGTCCTTCCGGGTGAGGGTCTGTTCTCCATGTCCACCAAGGCCCTCCATGATCATGTCCATCACCGCCATCACCGTCCCAGCCCTGGTGGATTTCCTCCAGTCTGTCACCTGCTGGCTCCACTGTGTGGAGGACTGAAATCCACAGCCGCAACCTTGAGAAGATGTAGGTGGCAACACATCTCCTGCAGAGGAAAGTGCCACAGTGACACCAACACAAAAGTGCGGAGAATGGGCCCCTTAGTTTTCTTTTTTGGGGGCTATGCTGAGTCTTCGTTTAAGCACACAGGCTTCTCTAGTTGTGACCTGTGGGCTTAGTTGCCCGACTAGGGATCACATTGTGCCTTGAAATCTCAACCACTGGACTGCCAGGGAAGTCCCCCTTTTGTTTCTTTTCTTTTTTTTTTCAATGAACTTTTAAAAATTATTAATTTTTTTTGATTGGAGGAACCCCCTCCTGTTTCTTACGGAGAGCAAGATGATCAGAGGTGTGAGCTCTAGGCAAGTAGGGAAAGAGAGGATTCCTGTAAATTATTCATGGCTTTGTAGACTCACTGTCTGAGGACCGTCTTGGTCTTGGATTAGTGCTGGTGTTTGGAATAGTTATCACCTCCTTGAGCAGGGCGTGATGAGCGCCATGACGGTGTCATTTGTCTGAGCTTCCCTGGGGGCTCAGTGGTACAGAATCCGCCTGCAGTGCAGAAGAGGCAGAGATGAGAGTTTGATCCCTGAGTCAGGAAGATCCCCTGGAGAAAGCAGTGGCAACCCACTCCAGTATTCTTGCTGGAAAATCCCATGGATAGAGGAGCCTGGCGGGCTACAGTCCACCGGGTCGCAAAAGAAGTGGACATGACTGAGAGACTAAACAGCCACAAGTTACATAGGAAGTTAGCTTGCATCCATGGAAGAAGGGAGAGAATTGTAGGTAGCATTGGAAGTACATTAGCCTCCTACTTTCTCCCTGTTGGAGATGGAAACTTATAGATAAGCAGCAAATGGGTACTGTGGCAACCCAGATGTCTGCGTTGTTTAGGATGGTTGGGTGAAAATATAGGAAACTCCTTGTTAGGATAGAATTTTAATGCTCTGAATTAAATGCTTTATTCCATGTAGCCCCATCTAGGCTGTCAAGATTATGAACCTGCTTTGAAAATTCTGACATTCACCTCTTCTTTTGAAATGATTATTTTTGACATAGAGAAGCAATGGCACCCCACTCCAGTCCTCTTGCCTGGAAAATCCCATGGACGGAGGAGCCTGGTAGGCTGCAGTCCATGGGGTCGCTAAGAGTCGGACAGGACTGAGTGACTTCCCTTTCACTGTTCACTTTCGTGGACTGGAGAAGGAAATGGCAACCCACTCCAGTGTTCTTGCCTGGAGAATCCCAGGGACGGGGGAGCCTGGTGGGCTGCCGTCTATGGGGTCGCACAGAGTCGGACACGACTGAAGCGGCTTAGCAGCAGCAGGATCTTATTTCATTCTAGCCCATCAGTACCTGGGAGAGAATGACTCTAATTATGGTAACATCTTATTAAATTATATTCCACTAATTCAGGACTGGTGATGGTGTGAGATGATGGTGTGGCAGGACAAAAGGAGAAACGTGTCATTGCTCTCCTAGAAGGAAGGAACAATGGTGATAGGATCATGGAGACCATACCTGTGCTTGCTTAGTAGTTCAGTTTTCAGACTCTTGGGAAATGTTCATCTACCAACAATCGGGAGTTATTCCTAATAGCCCTCCCTCCATCTCTATTTTCCACAGCGTAGTTGGAGTAACTTATTATGTCAAAGTTGTGAAATTACATTTCTGAAATACTTTTATGCCATCTTTCTCCGGTTGGTTTTGTCTTTAAATTGGAGGATAATTGCTTCACAGTGTTGTTTGTTTCTGCTGTACAGCAACATGAATCAGCCACATGTATACACATATCCCTTCCGTCTTGAGTCTCCGTCCCACCCCCCAGGTCATCTCAGAGCACCGAGCTGAGCTCCCAGCTATGAGCAGCTTCCCACTACCTGTCTCTTTTACACATGGTTGTGTATATACATCAGTGCTACACTCTCAATTTGCCTCACCTTCCTTGTGTCCACAAGTCTGTTCTCTATATCTGTGTCTCTATTCCTGCCCTACAAATAGGTTCATCAGTACCATTTTTCTAGAGTCCATATATATATACATTAATACACATTATTTGTTTTTCTGGCTTCATTCTCTAGGTTCATCCACGTCACTGCAAATGACTCAGTTTCATTCCTTCTTATGGCTGAGTAATGTTCCATTGTATATATGTATCACATCTTCTTTATCCATTCTTCTGTCTATGGACATCTAGGTTGCTTGCCTTCTCTTTAACATTGCAGAGGCTTTAATAACCTCATCCAATGGTTGTGTGTCCTGGCACGAGTAGGGGACGTCCTGGCCCAAGGGGAGGTGGAAGCGTTCACCAGGGACAGTTCCCCAAATGCTGACCCAGTCCAGGGTCTGGGGATAGCACAGGGTTTATGTTGTTGTTCGGTTGCTAAGTCGTGTCTGACTATTTGTGATCCCATGGACTGCAGCACGCCAGGCTTCCCTATCCTTCACTATCTCCTGGAGTTTTCTCAAACTCATGTCTGTTGAGTCAGTGGTGCTATCCAGCCATTTCAACCATTTCATCCTATGTCGCCCCCTTCTCCTCTTGCCCTCACACTTTTCCCAGCATCAGGGTCTTTTCCAAAGAGTTGCAGGGTTTATAGATCATTCTCTTCCTCACGTCAGAGTTGTAGTTGAATGCGATTTAGATTTTGCTGTATTTAATACACTTAACCGTATGCTGCTGCTGCTGTTAAGTCGCTTCAGTCATGTCCAACTCTGTGTGACCCCATAGACAGCAGCCCACCAGGCTCCTCTGTCCTTGGGATTCTCCAGGCAAGAATACTGGAGTGGATTGCCATTTCCTTCTCCAATGCATGCATGCATGCTCCTTCTACAATAAAAGCATATAAATATGTATGCTAAGCAAAGTAAGTTTCAATCCAGTTCCTGTCTGAATACAAATCATTAATTGGCAGAGTCCAGATAAGAGGTTTCCCCATAGGGTCAAACATTTAGCTCTTTGGGGACTAATTAGGCTCTTTGTTTTCTTTCTCTGTGGCCTAGACTCCTGTTATTTTTCTGATGGTCATCAGGACCACAGGGCAACAGACAGAGGAGTGATGAACTCTTTCCAGACCATTCCTCTCCCCTTCCTTTTATGTGGACGCACACACAGTTAACCCCTATAAATTAACCACTTGTGTAGCAACCACAATGTTAGGCCCTTATCCTAATCCTCATGCTATCTCGGTAGGGAACTGAGGCTCAGAAGTCACATCGCTTGTCCTGGATCAGGACAGAATCAGGCTTCAACCCCAGGTGCCTCTGAGCGATGCTCCTGAACACATGTCCCACCTTCGCATCAGGGGCTCTGATTGTTGAACACGTCCTTCTCCCCTGCTGAGTGTGAGCTCCTTCAGGGCTGGGCGGGGGACCCGGCACACAGGGAACCCCCTAGAAGTTTTACTGAACTGGGCTAGAAGGTCTTAGGGGGGGAAGAGGTCAAATAAGATGACGCAGAGGTTAGCCCGGAGGTGGGCTGCCTGTCCCTCATCTCCGAGGGTCCCCGGGGCTGTACCCTGCCGCGCGGCCATGGACTCGGGCCTGACAAGGACTCTGTCCTGGTTACAGGGGGCACAGCATGTGTCCTGACCGGACAGCCCTTCGACACCATGAAGGTGAAGATGCAGACGTTCCCCAACCTGTACCGGGGCCTCGCCGACTGCTGCCTCAAGACCTACTCCCAAACGGGCTTCTGGGGCTTCTACAAGGGCACCAGCCCCGCGCTCATCGCCAACATCGCCGAGAACTCTGTCCTCTTCATGTGCTACGGCTTCTGCCAGCAGGTGGTGCGGAAAGTGGCTGGGCTGGACCGGCAGGCGAAGCTGAGGTGAGTTGAGGGTGCTGACCCTCTTTGTTTGAAAACCAGCACTTAAAAAAAAAAAAAAAGAAAACCAGCACTTATTTGGCCAAGAGCTTTAAGAGACCTTATTGGGAAGAACATTTCCATTTTTTTGTTTTACCAGTAACCACTTTCTTGATTCTGAAGTGATCCATCACTGTCATAGGAAACTGGGCAAGCACATACATGTGTGTTATGTAAAAGAGTTGCCCACAATCCACCACGGAGAACCAGCTACCCTCACCTTCCTCCCATTCTTCAGGAAGATGCTTTTCTTTTTTAAGGATTATTTTTCTTTTATTATTAATTTTGTTTTTTTGGTTCAGCTGGGTCTTCATTGCTATGCTCGGGCTTTCTCTTGCTGCAGAGAGTGAGGGGGCTAGTCTTCATTGCAGTGGCTTCTCTTATTGTGGAACACAGGCTATCGGCACACGGGCATCAGTAATTGCGTGGACTCAGTGGTTGCAGCACACGGGCTTGGTTGCTTCATGGCATGTGAAATCTTCCTGGACCAGGGATTGAACCCGTGTCCCCTGCCTTGGCAGGCATATTCCTATCCACTGTATCACCAAGGAAGTCCAGTTTTTTCCTTTCGATTGGAGCATAGTTCATTTACAATGTTGTTAGTTTCAGGTGCACACCTGATTCACTCAAGTGAATCAGTTATACATATATCCATTCTTTTTCAGACTGTTTTCCTACATAGGTTATTACAAAATATTGAGTAGAGTTCCCTGTGCTATGCAGTAGGACCTTGTTGGTTATCTATTCTATACACAGTAGTGTGTGTATGTTCATCCCAATCTCCTAATTTATCCCTCCCACCACCATTTCCCCGTTAGTAATTAGAAGTTTGATTCTACGATCTGTGAGTCCGTTTCTGCTTTGTAAATAAGTTCATTTGTGCCGTTTTTAAAAATTAGATTCCACCTGTAAGTGGCATCATGTGATACTTGGGGAACATGCTTTTCAAATGCTGCTTGTGGGTGCCACTTCTCGAGGCAAAAGTGCAGAACTTAAACCAGAGATCTGACTTGTGATCTGAGTTTTGGGTTCCACGTCATCAGCAAAATGCAGTCAGAAAGTTTTGATGAGGAAGTTGGAATCTTAAGAAGGGTCAGAGCGTCTGAGAAGACGCAGGTGAGGGTCTGTTTCCTTGGCCACGTGTGCCCCAAACATCAGACTTTGGCGTGTGCTTGGTCGTCTCTTGGGTATTTATTATACAGAGATTAAAGGAATTTGGAAAGCACTGGGACGGTAAGCCTTTGCTCTTTTGAACATTGATTTATTTATTTTTATTATTTTCTAAATATTTCTTTTTGGCTGCATTGGGTCCTTGTTGCTCCTCACAGGCTTTCTCTAGTTGGGGCAAGTAGGGGCTACTCTTTGTTGAAATGCACGGGCTTCTCATTGAGGAGGCTGCTCTTCTTGTGGAACACGAGCTCTCCAGCACGGAGGCTTCACTAATTGCAGCTCCCAGGCTAAAGAGCGCAGGCTTAGTCATTGTGGAGCACGGACTTGCCCTGTGGCATGTGGGATCTTCCCACACCAGGGATCTAACCGGTTTCCCTTGCATTGCAAGGCAGACTCTTAACCACTGGACCACCAGGGAAGCCCTAATTTATTTTGTATCATTTAAAAGTATTCTTAGCTTCCTGGTTGCAGAGGACAGTCTTGGCTGGGTTTTTTGGTGGGAATTTGAGATCCTGTTGAAACCATAGGTCCCATGTGGCTACAGTAGGTTCCCTTTGTACAGAAGTCTTCCCTGCAGCTCCCTGGAGAGGTGCCTGTTTATAGCCAGCCACTTTATCTTGATGGATGGAACTTGTGTTGTTTTTTTTTTTAAAGGCCCGGGACTGGATGAAATCACCCAGGGAGGCGTGTTTGTAGGACTGAGCATGGATCCTAGGATCATCCAGCAAGGATGGAAAAAAGAAGAAGTAAAAAAATAAGCAGAAGCCAAAACAGGAGAATGTGGTATCCCATGTAGACACAGACAGGAAGGGCACAGCTGTGACTGGAGCTCTTCCCACTCGAGGGAGAGACTTTTTAGCTGAAAAAACCTGTAACTTTAGTCTCCTTTAGCATCCTTGGTACCGCTAGTGGTAAAGAACCTGCCTGCCAATTCAGGAGACAAAATGAGACGTGGGTTCGATCCCTGGGTCGGGAAGACCCCCTGCAGGAGGGCATAGCAACCCATTCCAGTACTTTTGCCTGGAGAATCCCATAGATATAGGAGCCTGGAGTTACAAGTTCATGGGGTTGCAAAGAGTCAGACACGACTGAAGCGACATAGCATAGCATTCTTGGAGAAGGACAGAGTAACCGCAGGCAATTCGGAGCAGGTCCTGCAGTGAAGAAATCTTCCTGTTTTGCTTGGCTTAACCAGCACCTTTGCCTTTTTTTAAAACAGGAAAAAGAAATAATTTCATTTATTTATTTGTGTCTATGCTGGGTTGTCTTTGCTGCACAGGCTTTTCTCTAGTTGGGAGCAGGGGCTACTCTGTGCGCCGGCTTCCCTTGTTGCAGAGCACAGGCTCTAGGGCACATGGACTTCAGTAGCTGCAGCTCCAGGGCTCTTGAGCTCAGGCTCAGTAGTTGTGCTTAGTTACTCTTTGGCAGGTAGGGTCCTCCCAGACCAGGGATCAAACCCACATCTCCTACCTTGGCAGGCAAATTCTCCACCAATGAACCACCAAGGGAAGCCCTCCTTGCCTTTTTTTTGTTTTGGAACTTGGGGGACAGGGACCTGCTGCCTTTTTCATCCCGCAGAGCAGTGTTGCTCATTACCATTGAGCACATGCTGCCTGAGAGCTTGCAAAGCTCTGACATGCATGCCATACTTCCCTAGCCCTCACCCCATGGTCCTGTGAGAGCATCCAGATAGGCAGGGACACTGGCATGGACATTGACACGGGCTGACACGTGATGCAGCCGGGACCCCAGCCGTGTCTTCTGCGCCCTGCAACCAGCACTCTTCCCATCAGACCACTGATAGGCTCTAGAGTACTTTGTAGCAGACCAGGTCCAGAGGCAAGATTAATAATTCTGCAGGTGCAGCAAAAGCAAAGACCTGCTTGTGGGCACCTGGTGAATTTCTGCAGGGCTGCTGTAACTATTTGTCTGTTCTTGGTTTGAACATGCCCCCCTGGGTGGTGGTCTCTTTCCGTCCGTGGCTGGAAGGAGTCTGACACAGCAGGAATATACAGGTACATATTTGTCAAGTGGGTGACAAAAACAGTTGATTCTTACAAATCCCATCCACCCTGACTGCCGCTCGAGCTCCAGGTCTAAACGTTTATACTACAGGCACAGCCTGAGGCCCGTGTCCCTCACCTCATGCAAAAAGTATTTATTAGAAAGCCAAAGTCCACCGCAGATCAGACTTGGCTTTGTGCTGCCCTGTATCAGCATGCTTGGGATTCGTTCAGGCGTTACTGCCTCTTAGATTGAATAGCCGTCTGCATTTATCAGTGCCACCTTTGTTCCAGCAAGCTTGGCCAACCCTGGTCAATGACTCTAATTGACTATGGCCTGTCAGCAGGTTGACAGCCCCAGAGGGAGGCCAAGTGCAGATCTGCAGGCTAGCCAAGAGACAAATCATTTAAGCTTTGATTTTGACAAGCAAGCCAAGCAGGAGGGAAGTGGGAAGGCTGGAGGGGACAGTGTCTGGCAGTCCTCACCCCTAGAAAGCTGTGTGCCAGTGCAGTTGTGGAGCTGGCTCTTCTGGTAATGCTCTGACATGTCATTCTCTAAAAGGAAGGCCACACTGCAGGCAGTGTCTTCCTTCTGAAAGAGAGCCTGCTCCAAGCCAGCTCTTCTGAGGCCTGGGTGTGCAACAGGCTGGCTTGGCCCTGGGCACCCACTTCACGTTCTCCTAAGGCACCAATGCCAGGCCATCAGAGGTAGGAAATCAAATTGAAGAGGTCAGACGGACCTTGGCTTTATGCAGGCACATGTCAACTATTCTGGATTTGGTTCCAGATCATCTTGCAAATTTTGGGGTTTCCCAGTGCATATAAAACTATGTTTACACCGTATTGCGGGCTTCCCTTGTGGCTCAGCTGGTAAAGAATCCACCTACAATGAGGAAGACCTGGGTTTGATTCCTGGATTGGGAAGATCCCCTGGAGAAGGGAAAGGCAATCTGTTAAGTGTGCAATAGTATTTGCCTCAAAAACCAATGTACCTACCTTAATTTTAAAATGGTGGTTTAGTCACTAAGTCATGTCTGAGTCTTGTGACCCTATAGACTGTAGCCCGCCAGGCTCCTCTGTCCATAGGATTTCCCAAGAAAGAATATTGGAGGATTGCCATTTCCTTCTCCAGGGATTCTTCCCAACCCAGGGCTCAAACCTAGGTCTCCTGAATGCAGGTGGAACCTAGGAAGCCCAATTTAAAAATACTTCATTGCTAAAAAATGCTAGCCATCATGTGACAACTCAGGGTTGCCACAACAAACCTTCAATTTAAAAAATGCAGTATCTTCAAAGTACAGTGAAGTGAAGCACAGTAAAGTAAGCTTTGCCTGTAGTAATGTTTGACTCCAGTTTCTGTAACCATTAGTTTACTGTAACTTTTTTTTAATGGATTCCAAAACACTATTTTTAAAATTTAATTTTTATTTTATATTGGTGTGTATTTGATTCACAATGTTATTGGTTTCAGGTGTACAGTTAAGTGATAATTAGATATATAGATACATATATATCGCTGACTATCTCCATTCTTTTTGATTGTTTTCCTGTGTAGATTAATATAGAATATTGAGTAGCGTTCCCTGAGCTATATAGTAGGCCCTTGTTGATTGACTGCTAGGAGATCAAACCAGTCTATCCTAAAGGAGATCAGTCCTGAATATTCATTGGAAGGACTGATGCTGAAGTTGAAACTCCAGTACTTTGGCCACCTGATGTAAAGAACTGACTCACTGGAAAAGACCCTGATGCTGGGAAAGATTGAAGGCAGGAGGAGACGGGGATGACAGA